GTCTCTTCAACAGATAGTTTTTGCCAAAAGAATGAAGTTGGGTCTCTGCCTCACATCATACAAAAAAAAAAAAAAAAATTCAAAATGCATCATAGGTACAAATACAAGAGCTAAAACTTCAAACCCTCACTACAAAGGGTAGAATAGGGGAGACATGGTCCCATGGCAGCAGCTCCATAGAAAAACTATTGACAACTCAAGGAGTCAGCAGTAGGATGGAGGGACCAAAAGATTACCACACTCCTCTCCATGCTAGGCTGAGGCTTGTGAAAACTGATCTCTGGTCTCTGGAATGTGAAAGGTTATAGGTCAGCTTGACGCTGTTGGTAAGGCTACTGCTAGGGCAATGTAGAGAGTTGTATGCACTGCAGTGTAGAAAGAGCAGGGCAGTATGTGTGTGTTCAGAGAAGAGGGACCAGGCTCACTGTTGTGTCCATGCATCCCAGCCAGAGTTCTATGCTCTCTGTATACATAGTAGGGCTCTCTCTTTCCTACTCAATATACAGATACAGAAATTTTGATTTTGTGTGTGTGTGTGTGCCATGAGCAGAACACAAATGAGGCACTTTTCCTGCCACTCAAGACTTCCCCCACACACACTTTTGGGAATGCTGGGCAAGATGGCGGACTAGGCAGAAAGACTGCACAGACCCTCTTCAACAAAGAAAAGGGAAACCAATTAACACAGACACAGAAGATAATCCTGGACCCCTGAGCCTTGAAGGGAAGGATACAGAAGTGGACTAAACCCCAACTAGCAGAAGAATTTGCGTGAAAATACCAAAAAAGGAGACAGACAGAGCTGCAGTCTGGCAGTGATACTGAGGGATCCTGATGACACAGACAGCTTAGAGATTCCCAAGTGTTGGTAGGACCTAAGAATTAACCTAAAAATCACCCTGCTGGCCAGGGACTACACGGAGGACTGTGCACTGTCGCTGGGGAACAAACAGAGAAGGTGAAGAGAAAGGTGGGCTAAGCTGTGGACTTTTGCTGGTCCGGAACGTGCCGCCATTTTGAAGGTATAAAAAGCAGCTTGACTATTTTGGACATTTAAAGAGACAGTGCTCTCGCAGACTCCTGGGGCTTAAGAACACGTTCTGCTTTCCAGCAACTCCAAGGACACTCAGGACCTGCAAGACTGACAAGGCACAACATTCGTCTTGTAACTCTTAAACCCCACACCAGCTTGGTGAATGGAGGTGTGGCCATCCCCCACTCTCACCCACCTTCTGGGCCCACAGGAACTCCATCACAGTCTGGGTGCTCAGATGGAGCCTGGGTGCCCTACCCTATCCTCCATCGATTTTTTTTTTTCTCTCTTTTTTTATTTTTATTTTTTTTCTTTTTCGCTTTCTTTTTTCTGGTGATTACTTTGCTTGTATTTGTCTATTTTAAAACAACTAATATTATTAATACTTTTGTCCTTTTTATTATTATGCTTAATCTTACCCTTCCCAGGTCCTAGTTTTCAGCATTTTTTCTTTTCCCTGTGCCTGGTTGAAAAAAAATTTATTTTTTTTTTAATTTAAGTTTTGTCTTTCTTTTCTTTTCCCCCTTTTTTCTCATGGTTAACCCTGTTCCTTGATTTTCTTTTTGCATTTTTCCCTTTTTTTTTCATTCATTATTCTCCTTCTCTACTTTGTTTTTCTTAGTGCCCTATCCCCAGATATTGCAGGTTTTCTTGTTTTTTCTTCTTTTTTTCCCTTTTTTCTTTTTTGGTTACTGTTCTTGTGTGATTACATGGTGTGTTTTTCATCCATGTGCTTTTAGTTTTTTTATGGTTATTCAATTGTAATTTGTGTCTAACTGAGTGAGAGACAACAACAGTCCCCATAAGACACAAGTACACCCCCACCTGCTATGACTTCACTTACTGAGCGAGAGCTACTACCTTCTTCTCCACCAATGGGCCAATGATAAAAAACCACCAAGAAGAGCCTGAATCACCCTTGGCTGCTCTTCAAAAACAGTTAAGAGATCTAAATACAACACCACAATGCCTTGGAAAAAACAGACCATCACAGTCCACATAAAGAAGCAAGATAAAGTGGTAGAAGCAAGGGAGCAAGATACAGACCCAGAACACATCCATGAGGAAGAAGCAGCATTGAAACTCTCTGATAAGGAATTCAAAA